GGAAAGGTCAAAATAAAAATGAAGTATTTTTACATTTACCAAAGTAAGACATTTTGATTAACCTGTATTTTTGAACACTTTTCACTTGTATTTTGCTTAAGCATGTGGGAAAAAAAACCTGAAATTTTGAGAACCTCTCCAAAAAGAGGTTTCTACTTAGCTCTCAGACTAGGAGCCTGACCTCATGAATCACACAGAGCAAAAAGCATTGTCCAGAATTCAGAATTAAAGTTTGCTATACATAAACCTTGTGACATTTTTATTACAGCATACCAGTCTAGAATCTGCATTTAAAACACTGACTGCTCAAAGGAATCTAAATCTCCTTAGCTAAAGGTAATAAAACCAGGTCAAGAATTCACTACTCAACAATGTACCATTAGCATTTCTGTTCAGAGAAAATGCAGTCCACCTATTTTTAAAGAAATTTTAAAGGCAGGGCATATAATGTAAGTTTGGAAAGTCTAAAGATTTGCTTGTGTATTAAAGTCCATTACATAATGAGTTTTCTCTCCTCATAAAGAGATTTCAGGGCACCTGCATCATGGGTTTTTCACAGCACACCCTGTGGTTCTGCAAACCCAGAGGTGGGACTGTGTTCCTGAGCACACAACCAGGTTTGATTTCAGCTGCTCAGCTTGGCCTCCACCATCAGAGCAATCCCAGCAGCAGAGTGCACACCATCCCAGTTCTATCCTGTTTCCAGACAGTTCTTTTCAATCCTGGTGATCTGTGTTCTGATGAAACCACTGTTTTCCATTCCAGGTTAGAGTTATGTTCAATTTAATAAACAGAAAAATAAGGAAGACAAAAGGACAGCGTGGTTCAAAGAATTTGCAGACAGGTAGGGAGTTGGGTTCTGTCCCCAAAAAGAGGATCATACATCTCATTTAAAGCACATTTAAGACTATGTTAATTTGGAATCACCAGGGGTGATTTCTGGTGGCTTTGGACACTCCTGTGTTCCCAGGGCCAGTCACTGACCATTGCCTCAAAACTGGCCAAAGTTACCTGTGTCACACCTGCATGAGCTGAGGGCACAGCCAACCCTGAGCATCCAGGTGGGTTCTGCTGGAGCACTGAGCCATCCCTGGCATTCACCACAAGTCCCTCTGTCCCACTGGGACATCTCTGATTCACTTCTCTGGCCAGAAGCTCCTACACAGCAGGTTTCCTTCAGATATCTCAAACTGGGTAAGTCATTAGTTGGGGTGGAGGGTGGTGTTGTTTTGTGTGTTTGTTTCTTCAAATCTCTGAGTTGACACCTCTGAGAATTCATCAGCTGCTTCAGATTCCCCCCTTTGAGGTGTATCACAGTGCTACTGAGAATAAAGCAGCATGGCCAGTTGATGCTGGCCAAGAAGAAAAAGGTTTTACTTTTAGTTGACAATGTGGTAACATACTTTTTATTTAATTTGTTTAAAATCTTAACAGTGGAAGCAGAATTTAATTTCTGTTAGAGCATCCTTTAAAATAAATGCTTGATCTCTGCCCACCCACTGTTACAGTTGATGGGTACAAAGTAAAAAGAAGAGCAACTCACTCACACTGGAGCACCAGAGAAGTGAGAGATCCTTAGTGCAGTGATTAATGACTCACTATAAAAAGATGCATCATAAACTGCTTGTATTAGGTTAAATCATAAACTAGGCTTTTAATGTTTATATGCTCCCTTTCTACATAATTAAGTGTGTCTGTAGCTCCCACTAGGAACGGAATTTATGTGATGTTTGCAAACCATGCAGTTTCTTACAGGGTCCAGTTTTGGGACCCTCACTTAAAGGGATTCCTGTCTTCCTCTATGTTCAAGCACTGCTTGAATTTCACTTTTGGGACATCTCTCTGTATTGCAGGTCACAGAGACCATTTGATGTTCAGGAGCAGCAAAGACAAACATGATCCTCCCTGAATTCAGAGTGTTTTCTTCAGGCACAGACACACCCAGAGCTCAGCTGCAGGAGAAAGTGCCATTGTTTTTCCTTATCTCTGCCTCCAGGTTGGGAAAAGGACAGCTGAAATGAAGACAGGGGGCTATCTACTGCTCACTTGGACCCATGTGGATACAGGAGTCAGAGCAGCACTGTGGTGGTGCCTGAAAGCAGCCAACCAGCCAAGCTGCCCATGCTCATGAAGGGCAACTCATCCACAGGGGAATCAGCCACCCTTTAATGCTCTAAGCTCCTGGCCAAAATCAGTTTTCAGGTGCTCACAGACAATTCCCATCAGCTTCAGGAGCTGGCTGGTGAACAGCAAGACAACAGCACCATTTGTCCATAACAGAATTCCATCCTGTGTTTATCCACCTTGTGGTGAAACTGTCGTCTTTGAAAAATAAGGTACAAGGTGACATTATGGAAGTGTCCATCTATTTCCTTACTATCACAGGCCTGCAAACATGTCCACCTCCCCTTTATTTCCCAGAACAGCTGGTGCTTTTTCCTCAACCAAAGCAGAATCTCCCTTGCTTGGCAAACAGACACTGACTTCACTGCAAAGCCGCCCCATCAGGAGAATGTCACAGCTCTCACCAACGGGAAGTTTACATAAAAAATTATTATTTTTTGAGTTTAAAAAAGAGCTGCAGAGCCTGCAGTTTTTTCAATAGGCATAGTAGCCCCTGTCAGTTGCTGCACTGCTTATTCAATACAGAAAATCTCTTAGGGTAATTATTTAAATACGTCCATCTGCAGAATTTAGAAAAGGGCAAAGCCAGTAGTGGAATAACCAAGATCATGATTTTTTAATAAACAATAGATTTAATGGGAATTAGCTGAGTTATCAAACAGTATCCTCCCAAATCAGCTCATTAGTTTCACTGAGTTTCCCTATTTCACTTTATTAAAACAATTTAAACAAGGGTTCATTAGATGCAATGTAATCTAATTCAGACACTCCAAACCTAATCCCTTTTCTTTTAGCAGTAACATGATAATAGTTTGCAAAAAAGTTTAAAGGATTATTGTTACAGCTATTTTAAGTAGGGACTGTTTTCAGCCAAACGTGTGCCATCACTTTCCCTGTATCTTACTATTATTATATTACTTTTTGGTTTTTACTTATTAATTCATTTATTCCTTCCTTTTTCTGCCTTTCATTGCTTCACATGAGCAGGGTCACACATGGTCAACAGCATCCCTGTGTGCAGGTGGAGGGGACATGCCAAATATCCCTGCATGGCTCAGTCCACCAGGCCTTGGGAAAGGAGTGATGTTTTGCAACTTACTTGGAGATTCTGGAGTTAAAAAAACCAAGCCTGGTAAATTCACAGTGATTTTATAAATATCCTAGAGAGAAGGGAGAAGGTTCCTGTGCATTTTCACGCTGTTAGTTTCTGACAGCTCTCAAAGACACACAGGAGGAGATCACACATAGGATTTGCAAATTAGGAGGCAGACACTGTATATTACTTACCATGATAGATCCAGGCTGGAAACACAGAGTAACAGATCCCTGCTATGGACACACAGCTTATTTTAGAACAAACTCATACTGTTGTACTTTCCTAAAACCTCTCCCAAACAGTAGGGTTAGTTTTTCTCATATGGCAAAAAGAAACCCAACCAAAATAAAACCCAAAGAAGGAGAGCTGGTTTTCAGATCCAAGGTTTCTGCAGGCTTTAGCAGGTTCCCTATCCCTGAAAACCTGTCCTAGCCCACTTCAAATCCTTGTCTCTTGAAGCAAGTGCCATTCCATAATCCTATTAAAACCTTTGCCTCTGTTTACCAGGAGCTCTAATCGTACTCAGCAAGTTCTTCTCGTCTAAGGAAGAGCGACAGCTTTCAGATTTCTTAGGAGCCTTTTTCATCAACCACGCCAGAGTTTTGCCAGAGTGTTCAATCTATTCTGGGAGCAGCCATGTGGAAAAAGTTTCAAACAGCTCAAAGCCCTACACAATGATAAAGGAAAGCTCACACAATCCTGGTAATAGCCTGACCCTCTTAAGGAAAATTGAATGATTTGTGGTAGCAGTTTTCCTGTCCCCTATGTGAAAAGTAAAAGCAGCGTATTCACGCAGTCCCATTACAAACCCCATCCCTCTTGCAGTGCTGGAATAATAAACACACACCCATTTGTGAAAATAAACTCTTGCTGCAGTGACCTTCTTCCTCAGCCCACTGGTGTGAAGGAGTTTGTAGCCATTTTAGAAAAAAAAGAGTCAGATAAAGGATGGACTAATTTGATGTTCAGTGTTTCACCATGAGCAGAATATATGCTTTAATGAGCACATTACATGCACCAGGGACGTGTTACTGTGAAACAGGGGATAAAGAGAAAGGGGAAAATAATTAAACAGTCAGCTCTATAATGAGGAAACTGTGTTCATGCAACATTAAGTGGCCTAATTTCCAAATGCTAAGCAAAGACATGTTCCTTGGTGTTCAGAAGGACTGGATGGCAAGCACCACCTTGAAAACAAGGGCAAAGATCACAGGTAGCAAACCTCCTGTAGGTCAAGAGCACAGGGTGGACTGATGCTGTTTCAAAGCCACCTGGCCACACCTCGCATGGACCCATCTGACAGGGTTGAACACCTGTACCCTGTAGTTCTTATTCTGTAAAGCTGTAAAATATCCCAGCATTCATCACAAGTCAGATGTAGAACCTCACAACTGACTTCTACCAGCCTGGCCTCAGTTTTCTGCAGGTATTCCACCTGCTGGGCCACAAATGTACAACATCAACGAAGGACAACGAGCACAGGAATCCCAGTGTAGCCGTTTGCACAAGCAAAGCTACTGGGAAAGGGGAAAATCTTTCTCATTGGGTTCAGACACTGACAGAATGAACCAATAAACCACATTTCTGACTGTTATCAGTTCTCTCAGGGCCAGTAAGGCCAGGAACATTCATTTACTGGGACTGTCAGTTCCAGATAGTGTTGCAATATCAATTACTCCAGCATAATAGCCTATCAGTCAGGCAGCAACTCTGCTGGGCCACGAGCTCCCAGTCATTCTTTGCAAATGGACACAGCAAAAGTCTCGTCTTTGTTACTCACCCTCATGCCTAATTCGATGTTTTCCCCTCCATAGACCTCCATACCAGGGTCAAGCAAACCAATCTCACCAAAATACTCTCGGTCCACTACAAAGGAGCACCCGATCATGGCTGGTGTCCTGCACAGAGAGAATAAAGCAAAAATTTAAGTCATTTCTTAGTTACTACAGAACCCATCTCATAAGAAATTTACACAGATAAAGCAGTTCTTAGTCTTCAAGTTTACATTTTAAATTTATCTATGAGCATCAGTCGTGTTGCACTTCATCCCCCAGTGGACAGAGGACCTTGTGGGACCAGAGCCACCCAAATAATTAGCACACTGCCAAACACATCAGACCAGCTGTCTGTGGGACACACAAGATGTGAAGTCCTCCACGTGTGTCACTCAAGTATCAGGCTGGGTTTCATTTGTTTTACAACACAGCCTCTGTGCTGGAGCTGAAGTTTGTTACCACAGAGTAGCACAAGAACTAGACAACACTTTACTGGAAGATCAACACACACAAAAACCCCCATAACCTTTGCTGGAAATGAGGAGTCCCCTTACCCACATATTAAAAGAAAGTGCATGTTGAGAGCCATGGATCAATCCTGGTGTGAAGTTTGCCAAGGGACTTCCTGGAGTCAGCTCTAGCACATGAATTTCAGCCTTTGTGAAGCTATTCTATGACCTGCAGGTGGCTGCAGGAATGTTGTCATCACTTCAGGTCCTCTTTCTCATCAGCAGTTCACCATTTCTACAGCAGGAGGTTAAAAAGGCTACAAACATATGGCCAAGATATGGTTTGACAAAACAGTTCTTTGCTCCTGGGCCCAATGCATATCCTGACACTGCAGAACAGAGCCCACCCTGTGACAGAACTGCCTGGTACCCATGACAAGGTTCATTTGCTGAGGTGCTGCTGTCTGTAATGGGCTCTGCTGTGCCACTGGCACTCCTGGTACCACTTCAGCATCTCTCCTTTGCACTTTCTCTCAGTTTGAAAGCCCCTGGCACCTCCCAGATCATTACAAGCCTCTCCTGCAGTGCACACTATCCCTCTCATGTTTCCTCTGCATAATTGAAAAAGGCAGCTGTTGATAGAAACACATTTGATCAGCACTGTTTCTGACAAAGAAGTTGAAATGGTTTGATTAACTCTCACGTTTCACCCTTACAGAGTGAGATGCATTCCCTGGGTGATGAGCTGAGGACAAGATTTAATGGTGGTTACAATGGCAAACATCTGGCTTTCACAGATGTCTCTGCACTGAAGTGGGGCTTCTCAGGAGACCCCTGAACTCATTCCATCGAAAAGGATGGAGAAAACCGAGGCCAGATGTCAGAGACCCTACGAAGAAACTGCAGCAGGGTCACCACAGCACCCTCAGTGCTTGGACCTCTGCCACACCCAGAGTGCCCCTTCTGTGTGCAAGGAATCCCAGTACTTCTCTCTTTGGTGCTGTCATCTGTGAAGGCTTTCTGTGGAATCAGTCTCGAGTTAGAAGTGGTCTCAAGGCTCTGTGAGAACCGCTCGTGGTTCTGGGTACTCCTGGCTGGGCACCTCCATCCTCTGCAGATGCACATCCTTGTACACCAGGATCTTTGCAAGATGGATGGCATTTATAAATTCAAGTTATTTGATAAAATCCATCTTCCTCCTTATACTTCCTAGAGCCAAGCCTGGAAACAGATGTTCCTAAGGAGTCTGAGAGCTCTCCTGTACTCAGGACCAGACATATCCTATATACACCTCCAAGTCACACCCTGTATCAATGAAAACCACGTTTTAGGCTAACAAGGATTACATTTAGTCTAGAAACAGAAAGAAAAGGAGGACATGACCAAGAAAAGGAAATTCAGTGCCTTTGAGGGAATAATTCAGGTATATTTCTTAAGTTCATGATAAAAAAAGGAAGACGATAGGGGGAAGAAAGACATCCAACTTTTTTCATTTTCCATTCACACAGGCATCACTGCTTTGCAAAACTGAGATGCTAGTCTGGGCTTAGATTCATTCTCTTTCCAACCCTGTCTCCCTCTCAAAAGTCCTCTGGAGGCAGCTCCTTACAGTGGTAGGATGCTCCCATGAGGATGTATCTCCTCCCTTCCTAATGAGGAATGGTACTGCCAGGCTTTGCAGCCTGCTCTCAGGTGCTGGAATCCCTCTCTCTTGGGGGATGGATTTTTGCAGCTGTCGGCTCTGTCCATTAAAACACTGAGTTGTTAATTGAATGGGGGTGGGAAATACATTTTGGATGCAGCTACATAATCATCACTCACAGCTGAATGCCACTGAGGGCTGCCTCTGCAGCTCCCTCTCTCTCTTCTATGCTTTATTTCTTCTCATTAGATATATTCAAATATAGACTCCACAAGCCTTCATGGCTTATTCAGAAAAAAAAATTGTTTTCAGGACTCAGCAACAACAGCAGCAGAAGGACAGAAGGAACCACACCCAGCTTTTCTGAGAACTGTTGAAAATTGCCACTGACAGTGGCATTTTCTACCTGAATTTGGCCACCTGCAGCCACTGGTCTTCTGCACAGCAGCACAGCTGCAAGCCCAGAAGCTGAACTGAGAAGCCCCTGGCCCTGCCCTGGACACATCCTGACACGATGGAAGAACTTGCCTGCAGTGCATGATGTTGAGTTTCCTGCACATTCCACAATCAATGCTTCCATCAGAGTCACAGAGTTTTTTTGGGGCCTCACCAAGGCCAGGCCCTTCACTGCCCTGTGCTCTGAGTGCCCCAGCTGTAAAGGCAGTGTGATGTGACTGTACAGCCCGGTGAGGGGGTAACAGTGCTGTGAGCAGAGGGACCCCGACTCTATTCCCAGCTCTGCCACTCATCTGGTCTCCAGGGAGTCACCTCCCTCTGCCTCTGCTCCTCCATCTGTGAAGCACACTTAATGACACTGGGTAACAATCTGAGAATGCTTCAGCAGCCTAAAACCCCAAAACTCACTTCTAAAGGCATTTTAAGCTGGATAATTTTATACTGGACTGCAGTGTCACATTGACACATAGCAAACACTTCAAAAAAACCTGCTCCCCAAAAAGCAGGAGACCCTCACTTGGCTGCCAGCACTGGGTTTTCCCACTACCTGAAATACACCAGTGCATCTACCACTTTTAGTGCAGTGCAGCAGACTTTCTTTGAAAGCTAGAAATGGATATATGAGCAAAACCAACTACCTTAGCATGTCTTAACCACTGCTCACCAGCCAAGGGGCAGCACATGAGAAAGTGCATACCCTTAGCACTTCACAGCTTGAGAGTACAATATATTAAACTTAACCACACCTGCTTTATATAAAGCAACCTTTTCCCTTAATCATCTACTTTCTAGCAAAACAGTGACACTTTTAGAAGGAAGGTATCATAAAAGAGCAATTAGAGGTGCACTATTCTTTACCAACACCTCAAAGGTGTTGTGAAACTTAATTGATCTGTGGAATATTCTTTGACACAACTGAGGATGTTTTAAGCATTAATTATAATCAACAGCAGCACTTAAAGGATAATGTGGGAAACACAGCAAAATGGGTTTTGCAGCTAAAAGCTTAAAATGCAGCATAGAATCATATTGATTCTGCACTGGAGAAAGACACAGCACAGTCAATTTGTGGAAATTACCTGATAGTATGGTCGCAGGAAGGGAAATGCAAGAGAGACATGACTCTGGGTAATGCCCTGGGGAAAGGGAGGGAGCAGAGAGAGCAGGGCTTTGTGAACTCCCCTCCCTCCCTGCCTGCCTGTTGCAGCAGACACAGAGCAGGCAGCTGGAGGGCAGAGAGGGCACTGCCTGCTTTGGGATGAGGCACCACAAACAGAGGGCAGGCTGGCCAGGGATGACACTTGCTGTAGGTCTGAGTCACAACTATTTTGTTTTAGTGAGGTCCCCAGGAGCACAGCTCTGTCAGCAAGATTCCAGCAGGTGCCATACCCATTTCTCCACCCAGGTGCATCCCTCTCCTTCCCTTTACAGACAACTGAAGGGTCCTGCCTGGGGCCTCTGTCAGGAACAAGTGAAGGAGAAAGGGATAAGCACCAGACTGACATGCTGCACGTGATACAGGAAATGTTCCTCTCCCTTATGCATCCTTCTCCCCTGCCTTAAGGTCAGTGTATATATCTCTATCATCATCATCATCATCATCATGCAATCACGTCACATTTGAAACACTTTCCAGAGCATCCAAGTCCAATTTCCAGGACAACTGACAAACACTCACACATAAATACAGAAATGTAAACATAAATGCAACTGTAGATAAATATATAAACAAAGATGTATATATACAGGCACGAGGAGAGAGAGAACGAGATTCAAATGACACATCACCCACCATATCTCTGAGTTTTCCACCTCCCCTGGCAGAATGTTTCATTGATTCAGGTTCTTAAGCAGCACCTCACCCCTGGCCTGACAGGTAAGTGGGGAAACCTGCACGGTACCTGCATAAATACTTCTTTTTTCTTACAACTTTTGTCTTTTGCAAGAAGTTACACCAGGCCCTGAGAACAGAATTCAAGGACAGATTTGCTGCTCAGGAGCTAGAGGGAAAAAAATGACAAACTAATGCTCAGTTACAAAGGCAGGGCAAATATGGATGTAAAATAACTCTCTGATGACCCATGGAAGTATATTTTTTGGAACAGGCTGGACACCCAGCAGAACCTGGACAAATAAAAGAGAAATTGCTCTGTTACAGGCTCCTGTGAACCAGAAACTGAAAAGAAGGCCATGATCAAAGCAATAAACAGTGTCCAGTGTTGTTATTACATGACAGCATGGTTTATCCTGAAAGACTTTACCTTCCTAAGCTCAGGTGCACAGATGGGTTTCTTCCCAGAGCAGCAAAGACCCAACAGGGCTTTACCAGCATTGCTATGGCAGAGCAGCACGGGGTGTGACCTGCACCTGAGATGGGCACACCCCCCCCCCAGATAAAGGAGGCAGCACAAACCACACCACTGGGGGCACATCCAGCTCTAATTTACACCCATGAGCAGGACACACGGTGCTCTCTCGAGCGGCTGGTGCTGCCCGTGTGAGAACATGTTCCTCCTGGTACCAGGCTATGGCATATTAAAGCAGTAACTGAGAACATATGCAACAATGAAATGCACCACTGCTGCTGGAGGAAGATAAAATGGAGAGCTGTGCAGGGCTTGGCTGAGTGAGGCTGACTAATGACTGTAATGTTAGTGGCTGCTGATCAAGAAATCAAGTGCAGAGCAGTCCATCATAATCACGGCGGGTGAGGGAAGACGAGTCAGAGCAGAGCTCAGAATACCAGAGTCCTTCCTTGCTGGTCCAAAACCCAGAAAAAAATACAGCAGGCATTAAAAACCTCAGCTGGTTTCAATGCATAGTCAAATTCACTGGAAACCCTCAGAACTAGGATCCTTTGTCACACAGTTTGTTGCCAGATGATAAGGACGTTTCGGGGCAGCGTGCTCTGAGGAACACAAATGGGAAATGATGTGATGGACACAGCGTGTCAAAATAACAATCCTCATTTAAATCTTCACGTTAGGGACATCTCACATCTCAAATGTCAAACATGTAAAATGGATTGCCTGCAGAAGCCGATTCAGGGAACATCAATTGTTCTGAAGTTCAGAGTATTAACGTGGGGGAAAAAAAAGAACCGACTTTAAAGTGTATCTGAAATCTTTACAAAATCTGACACTTTGTTCTTGCTATTTCTTTACCTTTGTTAGCACTTCAAGGCCACATCCCCATTGTCATTTAGACCACAAGAGCTGCTGTGACATTTTGTGGTGCACACTTGACATGACTGCCTATACAGTGCCCCACTGGCATGAGGGACAGTTCCTGCTCCTTCCCAGCAAGGCTCTGTGTAGGATCACACCACTGTCAGCATTCAAGAAATCAGAGGATCAGGCTTCAAACAGAAAAAATGTTAGAAAAGGAACTAAGCACATCTGTTATGTAGTCCCAGAAGAAAACAGGAATCGGACCCTGCTTTCTAAATGTCTCACCCAATTCTGCAGATCGATGATATTTATTCATACAATGCAAACATGAGAAATGCCAGGGCTCTGATCCTCACTGATACCAGAGAACACATGTTTCTTAACACTGAAAATCTTTAATCCCTTTGGAGATCTGGCAGGAAATAGTCAGCTACACCAACCACAAAACCGGTCCCGGGGTTATTTGTTACAAGCCTTTTCTTTCACAAAACACAGAGAGGCACAAACCAAACCCACTACTTGCTGAAGAGTGTGTCAAAAGAAGCCTTAAGAGGAACAGTGAGGACTAAATGAACTTGCAGTTTTCATGCTGATGAACAGTCCTGCAATCTCATGAAGCACTGAACAGATACATGGATCCAAACATCATCAGTGTGGACCTGTTTGCATGTCTTGCAAAGTGGACTAAACCAGAAATCATTTCTTCAGTACGAGGTCTGGAAAGCTGGTTACAAAACCAAAACCTGTACCAAAGCAACAGAGATTTTGAAAACTAACTTTGCCTTCCTTTTGAAAATACACTTTAAATACTCTAAGCTACTAAGTTCCCATCCTGGGTGCTTTCAAATTTCAATCCTAAGTATACAGGCTTCCTGATTCTTTCCATCAATAACACTCACACGTTCACTCTTCCCATTACCACAATTACACTGGCATATCACTGAAAAGCCACAAAATTGCACTGTATTTCTACAGGCAGGAATAACACAACACCCAAATGCTCTAGCAAATCCATCCAAGTGCTACTGGTTCAGAGTCCCATCAGCAAGCAGAGCAGTGTGCTGTGAGGTGGATGCTCTGCTCCCCTGGATCACTGCCTCCAAAGCACGTGTGCCCAGGGAGACACGTACGTGTTCACGGGTCGATGTTGATGCCTCTGCATTTCGGGGCATGGAATTCTTAATTTCCAGGAGAGATGCTCAGGCAATCACAACGTGTCAGTGCTCCTGGTCTTTGTCAGCAAGGGTTGGGCGCTCCCCTCCTTGTGCTGCTTGTCTCATCTGTCCCTGGGCAGTTTATGCACTGTTGAATTAGAGGGTTTGTTCACTCGGGTTCAGAATAAAATCACTGCTCTTGGGAGCAGCTACTTATGTGCATCAGATCTCAACACTGCTCAGTGCCTGAGTCTGGACCTTGTTCACTTCTGTGTCAACCCAACTCAGTGCCAGCGTGACACCAGCAAGAGCCTGAACACAAAGTCCATGACACATCACACCCTGTATTGCTGAAAAAACCCCTTCTTATCCCAGCAATACAGGGATGAGATTCCTCATCCTCTATTAAAAAGATCTGCAGTTGGATTTCCAGAAGTGTTTTGCAGAAGCAGCTTCCATGCCTTAGGGAGTGCATGACCTACCACCACTGAAATAATGTCCAAGATCTTGCTGAGATTTAACCTCTTAGTTCAGTCTTATCTGGTACTTGATCACTGTCTCCAGAACAGAAGATACTCAAATACTGGAGCAATCCATGTGAAAATTAATACAGTACAGATGAACACAGATTTCCTGCATAAACTGGAAGTCATGAAGTGTGCAAAACCTTTCAGGACTGGAAGACTGAAACCCTGGTTGCAGGAATGGAAGACTGAAACCATGGTTTCAGAAATTAAATCTTTGGCTGATTAATTTTCATTCATCAATAAGCTGTTTCTCAGGGCTGAGTGAAACAGGTATAAAACACCTGCATTTTTAAAACAATGTGAGGCAAGCAGGGCATGTTATCCAGGAAAACTGATTTCCTAAGTAATTTCTTTCCTGCTTATTGAGGTTTCAAGCCAAGCGAAGGGTCAGTGATGATGGACTGTGCTGTCCTCCAGTAAATAAGGTTAATGTTACTGTATAGCTCTGTTTTGCACTCACAGAGCATGAGAATGAACCTAAGTACAGCTTGCTCAAATACAGACTGAAATATTACTCTGCATGAGGGGCAGATCCTGTGAGGTGGCCCCATCCAACTGATCCCTTGGAAATGTGATCAGTTTGTCTGGGTCCTTTCACTTCCAAAGGATCACCTGGATCTTTTCAGATGGGTATGTTGTTAGAAGTGTTTGAATGACTTGTCAGGACCTGACAACTCAAGCTTTACACTGGAAGGGAAGTACATCAGCTTCTCTGCCAGAGCCCACACTGGGACCATACAGTGGAGTTTTAGCTTACTTTAGTTTGGAAGTGATATACATGAAAATGAAGAAGACTCTAAGGTGGTAAGTTGTGTCCTTCCCAAGAAATCTTAAAAAATAGGGTAGAGCAATCTATTTTTTTTTTTTGCATACCTGGGCTTCATATTTTTTAGCATTTATTTCAACAGTTCCTAACAATAGTACCCTTAACCAAGTACAGAACATCTCAGAGGAGCTGTTAAGACGAGAGGAGGAGATGAAGGGCCAGGAGATGTGAATTTTTAAACGAAGGGGAAAGAAAGCCCTTTTCACACAGGTTCCTATTTTCCCACTGTAACAATTCTCAAAAACACCTTCACAATTCCTGTAACAGCATCTCCTTAGAAAATTCCATTTCTGTAATGTAACATGCTCTCTTATAGAAAAAAATAAAATGACACACTGACTACACGGTCTGGGTTCATTTTGAAATTCAACCAGCATGAAAACTCAGAACATGTGTGCATAGTTCCCAAAAAAATAAAGAAAAGTTCAACTCTTGAACAAAGCAAGGCTAGCACAGCTCCTGCTGGTGCTCATGGGAAGCTCTGGTTTGGGCTGATGGCCAAGACTGCTGCCCACAGAGCAGAAGTGAAACCAGCCTCTTTGTAATCATATACACACCACCTTTGTTTGTCATACACACAAATGTTTCACTGGCTTAACACCCATGCCAGAGTCCACCAGAAAACAAAAGCTTAGATGAAAAAGATCCTGCTGTCCTCCTAAGGGCCACAATATGAACTTGAAGCACACACTCACAGCTAGAGCACGTGCCTTTCTGTGCACACTGTGGTGCAGCTCTGAGAGGCAACACACACAGCCCCACTTGTCATTCAAACAGCCCCAGCTTTGCAGAGCCATCTGTTCTCTCCAGCCTCCTTTCGCCCTCCCTGCCCAAAGCCTTTAGCCTTGCCTTTCACTTCAGCTGCCCTTGGCAGACAGCTGGGATGGAAACATCGCCAGTCCCGAGCTGACAGCACAGGGGAGATTTACCTGATGGGAGCTGACTCATCCCCTTTATCGAGCCAGTCCTGGGGTGGGATTATGTACATGCACCAGAGCCCCCAGTTGTAGCCGTGGGCGGCGTTGGCGTATTGCTGCACTTCAAACGTGTTGTACTTGATGTTGTCGATGGCCGGCAGGATGATCCGCTTCCGATCCTCTTTGATCCGGGTAAGGGCAGGTTCCACCCTGGGAGCAACAAAAACAGAGACATGTTTTACAGGTTTTACAGCCCCCCAGTAATCCCAGGTCCTGCCTGGCAGGCTGATGAAACCAGGTTCTCTAACACTGCAAGCATTAACCCAGCGAGATGGCAGCCCAGAGCTGCCCCTGGGACCGAACCCACATCACTGTCACACACTGAAGGGGGGGGACACTTCACACAGCAACTGCACAGGAATTATTACCTTTAGGAACCTGTACCAGAGTTAAACAACACAAAACCTGACCAAACACCTCTTCTGAGGCCTGGAGACTGTTAATTCATCTCACAATGGACAAGTGTTGAGAGACACCATCACCACAAGCAGTTAAATGGTCTCACTGGCTACACCACCGGGGCTCCTGCTGACATGGCCTGAAGAACTAAACACACCAGGGACTGCAAGAATCTGAAGGTGACTCAAAGGTTTTCATCTTGTTTCCTAAGGACTGACCCCACGGGATCTAGTTTGAATGACAAGTGTGGCTGCATTATTCCTTCTAAAACCTCTTTGGTGATGAGAAGATTTCAATTGCCAGATGGTGCAAAAGCAGCGAACTGCAGGAAATGTTCCATCATTTCAAAAGGCTTTAAAACATCAATGTGCTTTCAACAGAAGCTACATCCCAAAAGGAAAGTAAAAAGCTTCAGTGCAAACACTCATTTCTGACCAAGGTAGTCTGAAGTCGCTATGAATTTACAGAGAAAGTGATCCAAAGAGGTAGCAGACTTACATAAGGGTGGAAATCACTCCTCAAAGTAGTATTAGAAACAGCCACTGGTTCAGTCCTTTGTAACTGTGTTTCCCCTTGAAAAAAGCTTTGAAGATTTTGCAGAGCTCTCACATGTATCTTTAAGGGAATGGTGGTTTGCTGCAATTCACAAAGGTAGTGGGATTTGAACACTGATCTTTTCTCATTTTCCTTTTGCTGTTGGTTAAAAGGCAATTGTTCCTTCATGGTTTCAAGTTTGTTATTTTATATATTGTTTGTTATATTTAGTTTGTTACCATGAATTGTCTTGTGCAGGCCAGCAGAAAGGGAAAAGCTATAAAGTTAATTCAAACTGCATTTTCAGTCTTCACTACCTCCATCTGAACTATCATAAATTTTCTGATCTGTTCTGTAAGAAGACAGAAATTTCTCTGTAATTGAATACAGCCAAAATATTTGTCATTTTGTACACAGTCTCCCTATTGCTTACATGAGGTTGTGTACTGCTTGCCTTCTCTTCTTTTTACTGCTCCTACATGAGTAAAAACAGACATAGATTCAGTGAAACCCTTGAGTATTGATGATGAGCTGCTTACTGCAAATAAACCATCACAAAACAGAGCATAACTGACAAAAAGACAAGGTGTCACAGCACTGCATTTGGAGAGAAGAGCAAGAAACTTAAACTAGCTTAATTTGGATTCCTCCAGAAAACTGACATTTGAATTTATCAGCTGGATGCCAATAACACAGAGGATGGAAGTTTTAATAAAAAGGATGATCACAGGCACGGTGGGAAAAAAAGAATGACATTGTAAGTCACAGAAATTTCCTCTGGCCAGGAAGGTTATGAAAGAGATGTTCATCTCCTATTCAACACATATTGTTTTGTTACTCTCCTTGATTTATTCTGGGAATAAATCAATGGATCCCTCATGACTGGAATGGCCTGAGGTCACCCTTACTACTGCTTGCCACCTGCAATTTTAGGTGCAGTACTTATATTGTCAAAGCCCAAGGTTCTGTGAGGTACCAAAAATCTCCACAGAAGCATGAAAGCTCAGCAGCCTAAAGGAGGGCAGTGATTTCAGCTCTATTTTTGGCAATACTTTTTTTTTCTTTTTTTTTGCATGACATTTAAAGAGCTGTACCCCAGACTCAAAGGAGATTTTTTTTCTTTCTGTGGGAGAAAAAAGAAACAAATGAGAGACTCAGGACAGTGCAGTACATGATGCAGACTCTCAATTCATGTGGTCTTTGGGCTACACTTGGGCACCTCCATAAAGAGCCAATGTGACCTTCCAAATCAGGATAAGCCACTTCTGTTGTCAATATGAGATTATATTTATGAGATTAAGTGTTTTAAAAACCAGTGGGTGGACAGGAGAAAAATTCTTGCAAATCCAACAAAGCAGAGACTAATGCAGAAAAGCTGATTCTTCTCAGTTCTTTCCATCATGTTATCTGTGCTTACCACCTTAGAGGCAGCAGAAGAGAACCCAGAACAGTGGACACTTCAGCCAGACACTCCCATCACAAATCCAGTGCCCCCAGCTCCCTTCTGGCCTCTGCAACAAAGGCTTTCAAAATACCAAACAACAGGTACAGGTGTCCCTAATGACAGGCCACTAATTGTTGGACAGGAAGAAGAATCCTCCTCTTCAAGATTTTAAAGTAAAAAAATGACCTTGGTGCAGATCACCCGCCATGCAAAGCACCTGGAGCAGGACCCTGGTTACAGAACACAACTGTTTAACCATCACACTTAAAACCATCCTGGAGGTTCCAAATTCCTTCTACAGTTCCTCCTTGTGTGCTTGTTTTTCAAGTATTTTACTTCATAGGGTAGACTGAGATTGTGTAATGAAAAAGCTAAAAGGAGACAAGGAATTCTCCTCCCTTAACGTCAGATGTCTGCAAAGGACCCCCCCACATCCAAGGTAACTGCCTCAGACTTTCATCCTCAGCAGAGGGAGAGGGAGGCTGGCACTTTTACAGTCAGATGCTTCTCATAATAATGCAGACACTGAAACTAGGTGAGATTAATAATGTTGAATTATTTTGAATAAAAAGGGAATTTAGCCTGCTACTTTGCAAGACAGCTTAAAATTGGACTGCTGAAGTGTATCCCACATAATGGTTAGAGAAAGAATGTGAAGAAAATATTTAACAGTCACTCTGGTTTTCAGCCCTTAATCATATCTGTGATTGTGTTAATCCAGTACTTGAGTCCTGGCAATGCTAACCTAGGTCCTTGCTATCTTCATTACACAAAGAACAATCCATTCCCAGCTCGGGGGCTGCTCTCACACCAGCCAGCACCAAGCTACTCCTGTCACTCTACAGTTGACTAATTTCTGTGTTTTTCCAGTTGTATGACTCACATTTATTACCACCTGACACGGTGCTTTGCATCTGAATGGCGCAAGGAGGGATCTCTGGAGCGTAATGCAACAGTTGGGTCAAAACACACGATGAAATTCCATTAATCTCTATCAATCTGTTAATGTGAAATCCCAGATTTTGAACTTCCATGAAATCTGAGGCGTCTGTAAGCTGTCCATGTGATCAAAGTTCTGCTTCTGTCCCCCTCCACTCCAAAAATGTAAATGTTCAAGGTACTACTTCTCCAATATCTCTGCCCTCGAGCTATGCCGTGCCAAGGTCATGGACTGAATTGGGATGAAAGCAACTGCTGCAACTTCCTTTTCTAAAGCTCCCTTCTCACCCATGGGGGTGATTTTCTACCTCTGTTGGTATCCACATGTGTGGAAATCATATCCCTGTGGGTATTAGGAACAGGAAAGGTTCAGTGTGTGGACAGACTGCACAGCTATCTAACTCCCCAAATATGTTCACACCCACAAGAAAGCAGGCTCTGAGTCACAGATGGAAAGAGAAAATCCAGGATAGAACTGTCCTCTGTTCTGAACTCTGGCTTTGTCTAATTGCTTCAGGTTTTTGAAAGGGTTACAATTAAATCTTTCCTACTAATTTCTAGGGGTTTTTTTCCCCTAATTTTAAACTGCTACATTATTATGCAGATTTACCCACGCTCTTTACAGACACCAGCATTCTTTCTCTGTTTTTTTTTCCCCCTTGTCTTGTTTTTTCCACTGTGCACCTGCAGAAGTCAGATGCTTCTGGCAGCTCACAGGACTGAAAGGACAGAGGGAAGGGGTTGCTGAAGTCCAAGTATGTTCTACATGCTGTGCTGATGAGCTGCAATATGTTGTTTGAGTGTTTTCTTTCCACGTGGCCACCGCTGGCAGTGAGGCAGGATCGAAGGATTCAGCCCTGCCTGATCAGGTACATAAGCCAGATGTGAATTTTGAGATTCATCTCTGTTTTTCACAGATGCAAAAATATTAGGTTCCTACCTTGTATCTGAGCCAACATGCTTTATGGGCACAGAGTAGCACAGATTGTTAACAAGTTATTTACTGGAGCAAGAGCAAAAGTTCTCCCAGGCATATTCACAGACTTGATGGATTTCAGGAAACTAAATATAATCAAAAGATTCAGCTTTAAAGGTAATGCTTCACAGCAGCCAGTTGTTTTTTTTCACCTAATAAAACCCAAGCAGACAATTTGGACTGGAATTTGAGTGACATATGAAGATACTCCCTTCTATCCTCTCTTAAAATACATATTTGTCAGTGTCCTCCTCTCACTCTGAATAGATTGCTGATGAGCAGATAAAGCCAGAAGAGAAAGGACAGTAAATTCAGTTCTCCTATAGACCCCACCGGGCTAAAGGGTGTTTCCACTTTGGTTTTATTTCTCTGAAGCAGTTCCAGCAATACAGGAATATAGTGCTGAAGTCTCTTTCCCAGGACTCATCCCTGTGATTGACAGAGCTTAGCTGGAACTCCATGAAGCAACATCACTTTTCCAGGATTTCAGTGGGCTTCCCAAAGGCACCAGGACAGGCTGGGCACAACATCCACAGCAGGTGCCTTGGTGAGTGATTCCTCCTTTCAGAAGCTCTCCTGGGGGATTTGTGGAAGGAGTCTCTGATCAGGAGCAAACTCACAACAAAATGATGTGTCGATTTGTCAGAGTGTGTCGAGCATATCACCAAACAAACAGCACGTGCATTTAATGCTTTTGCCTACCAGTTGAAAGATTCCTGCACGAACACTGGATTTTCCAAGGTGTTGGACACCCATGACTTTATTGGGAGTTCCAGCAATGCCAGAACTGTGGGTCTCAAGGACTAAGTGTTCCCAGGAGGCAAAAAAGAGGTGAAAGGCAAAATTTAACCCAGAGTA